ACACAGGATAGACATTGAGCACCAATGGCTGCCTCAGATACGAAATTGGATTTCTTCAGCTGAAGGAGCCGATCTCGGTTGACAAAGATCAGACGGTGAAGGTTAGGAGGAACCATGTGCTTGCGGCGAGATTTCAGGCGCGAATTCGTGTACTGAAGGCATTCAATGGAGAGCAATGGGTGAGCAGTTGAAGTTGAAGAGATGGAACGATGAAATGGTGTGGCAGCTGTAAGATGAAAGCGACAGGGGTCTTTCTGTCATGGATTTGGGGCTAGCCGCTGCGCTGACTGGCTCGCAGATTTGATGGCACCCAGCCCGTGCCAGAGACATGCAGATGATGCATCCCGCAGCAGCTAGGCAAGTCTATCCGGCATTAGCTGCCATCGTATATCGGCCGCAAGGACGGATGGTGCGGATCGGTTTTAGTCAGGCTGGAGGACCTAGAACTTTGTTGCAGCCTTCGACCCTTCTGAGCGACCCGTCGAGGAACTGTCCTTTGTAGAATCCTGAGAATGAAAAGAAGAAAAACTGCAATGCAAATGACGAAGCACGCCGCCAATGAGCCAATTCCTAGAGACGATGATGACCTGCAGCTCTGTGGGGAGAGACCTTGTCAGGTTTCACTTTTCCTTCCACCACCACGCCGAGCGCCACTCCAGCGTCGGCCTGCGAAGAGTTTTCGGCCGTGGAAAAGGACTCGTCGCCAGAGAATCGCCTGTAGATGGTTTCCTCAAGTCAGCATACTTCCGAGGACAGCATCCGAAGATTCTCGGGCGGTGGTAGAGGAATACGGGTAGGGAAAAGAAAAGATAGGGAGGGGCGGCCCCTCGGTGGGTGTCGGGCAAAAGCAAGGGTGAGGGCCGGCCAAGGTCCCATTGGATTGATCTCAGCCAGGGCGGGCGCGCGAGAGTGCGGGTTGGAGCGGGAAGTCCATCTGAGTACTTACCATCCCCTCTCTTCTCCTCCGCTCAGAAAGCTGCAATCGCTGTTGAGCTCACATATCCACCCGCCTGCGACTCCCCGACCATTCCTCCACGACTTGGTATCCGCGATTGGGCCTGTTGGTTCCATTGTCAACCGTGAGCCCCAATAGCCTGATGATGACGTAGGGGTTCGAATCCTACCATCGGTTCCTGGAGTTTTTGCTGAAGAAGAGGGTGATTTTCTCCGGTACATGCTTAATCCACAGGTAAAGGCTCGGAAATCTTCCGCATCAATACTCTCGGGCATTTCGCCAGTAAGGACTCGGCCAAGAGCAATAATCGAGGCAGCGTGGGAGCACAGAATAACTGCACGGTGGCCCTGGGCGTCGCATTGCTCAATGATGGCTTGAACACCAGCAGCGACACGGTCGTGCAATTGAGCGATAGTCTCACCGTTGCGGGCGGGATAGACGCGGCTTTGATACGTGTCATCGATGTGAGGGAACATTGGCTTCAAGACGTCTTTCGAGGCTGGAGTCGGGTGCTCGAATGGAGCGGCGCCATACCATTCGCAGAGGCCGTGCTCGGGACGAATGGTGACAGCATCGGCTTTAGCGCCAACGTCTTTTTCCCGAAGGCGGTTGAGGTTTTCCTGGTTGAGAGTAACAAAGGGCGTGATAGTTTGCAGACAGCGATAGTAGGGGCTGGAATAAACTGCGTCGATTGGAGGCTCAACGGTCAGGAGGTGGGCGCCCAGCTCCTTGGCCTGGTCGACGCCATGGGCAGTCAATTCCGGATCCGCAGGTATACCTGTCGGTGACGGGATGGAGGCCGTGTAGCTTCCCGTGGCAGGGTCGACAAGCCAGTTGGACCGGAACTGAAGAACGCCAAGGCCGTTGTCAGAATGAAGTCTCTTGCTCAAAACCAGCAGGGCCAGCATCAACTGACAAATTCAAGAGAATTGCCCGCGGATCTTTATCAAGTACCAGGGTGTGTGGGTTTGGCGATGAATAGGTTGAAGAAGGTTTCATGAGTGAAACTTTTCCCCAAGCCCTCGTCTTCTCAGCCATTCTCGTTCTCGTTGGAACGTTGGTCTCGGAGATGAAGCCGGATACGAAAGGAGACTGGACAGAAACGGGCAGGGGGAAACGGATACTTACTCCATGGCGGGTGATGTAGATTACTTCCAATGACATGTTGGAGACTAAAGAGCAAAGCGGAGCGTCGCAAGTTGTATCCCTGGAAGAGGACCGACCAAATGGGGATAGAAAACGGGTAAGCAACGATGGGGTCGGCCGGGCGTATAGTGTTTGTCGTCGTGTGTCTCGTGTGTGTGTGTGTACGTGTGCGTGGTGCTTGTTGGTTCCAGGATAAGGTGAGGACCGTGAGGCGTGAGGCAGAACCGGGCAGGGTTCTGTGGCTGTGGGCAGGTCAGTATCCGTATGGAGTCATGGATGTTCGGTGTCTGGTCCAGGTCTCGGTAAATTGGGACAGGATGTGATGGAGGAGTAAGAGGAGTAGGAGAGGTTGGGTGTGCGTACGTCTGAGAGTGTTTGCGTGTGAATGAGTTTCCGTATGCGTGTGTGTGGGATGTGTGCGGGAGAAGACGTGGTGGCGGTTGGTTGAAGATGTCGTTCAACTAAGAGTGCGTAAAGAGCCCGGACCAGTTCCCCGTGCGCTTTGTGTTCCCCCAAACCAACGCAGTCACCCTGCCGAGGCAAATGGGACGGCAAGAGTGACCTGCCACGGGCTGGGAAGGAAGGGACCACTGGGCCAGGGCAGGGCACTCGGGGCAGGCAGGGCAGGGCAAGCAGGGCCAAACCTGGAAAGAGCCTACCTACTCAGACCAAAGTGCCCTGGGAATACATTGGGAATACCTACACGCTCCTGCCTACCACCCTTACCTGGTTAGAGTACCTGGGAAGGGGACTCTCGGTGCACCGTGATTACCTTGGTATCGTACGGATAATCAAGTACCTTTCCTAGCGAAGCTACGCCATTGGACACCTTACGCCAGTCCTCCCTAGCTTACCTCACGGGTGCGAAATACAACCACCTAGGTTGCCTTAGGTAAGTGGGGCCCACATCCTTCAGCACCTCATGGCATCCGAACACCCTCACAAGTGACGATCCTCAATGATATCCATCCACCCATCCCTCCACCGCACTACTGCTCAGGCACTCTTCTCCCGGTTCCGCCCCTGCCAGCCCGCGTTCGGGGCAGGTCACATCTCACTTTTACACCCGACACCATTGTCGAGTCCGGTCTGCGGATACTGGGTGACTGGATACGGAACCATGGGCGGCGGCTGCTCAGGGCTTGGGTAGGTAGGCTTGGGGCGACGGATGCCTGCCTGCCACGCACCACCTCACGCACCACGCACTTGTGGGTTGTCAAGAGAATCGACGAGCGTGTCAGGCAGACGACACACATTACGGAGTACCTACACACATCACACATCATCAAAACAGGGTGTGGACAGGCCGCTGACCGGGACACTGCAATGGGCATCACCCGGGAATCCCAACGTAGTATTCCACCGACCGGTCAAAGTCCCCGCAACCTGGAAGATGTGCAGGTGATCGATCAACCTGCAGCACGGGCGCCGAATGTGACAAGTCCAGGCCTCACCGAGTCCCAGCCCAATTCTGCATTCGAATCCGTACAAGGCAATCCAGCGCCAATATCGTGTCGCTATTGGTATTGTCTGTGGCTGTGGTTGCACGGAAAGGGGCTGCGGGAGTACTCGATGTGTACCTACACATTCTTTTTCTCTCACACACGCACACACTCCCTTGCGGACTACACACACGCTCGCACGCACCGTTGAAGGAAGGCTATGCGGCAACGCATGCTGCTGACCAGGGCCTGGTCAAATCTCCGCAACACCCTTTCCGCACCCGTTGCAGAATGTCAAAGAGTCTAGAATCCTGAGTACCTTATTATCGAAGAAAGTTAATTCTTTCTGAGTCATAAGTATAAGAATATAGTTTTAATAAAATAGTATAGTACCTACTTAGTACTTAAATTAAGATACTTTTTTAAGCTTATTATAAAAAAAAGATAATTATATTACTAACTACTTACTATCGAGGTCCGTAAGTAGTACTATAGCTTTAACTATAATAGCTTTGCCCGTAATAAGTAAAAAGTTTAATTATAAGTCCCTTAAAAGCCTCTAATTAAGAGCTATAAGAGCCTCTAAATTAAGTTAAAATGCTTATTAAGATATTAATAGCTAAACTAACCTTATAATAACGACTTTAATAAAATACTTAATAAATAACGTTAGAATTTTTGTTAACGTTAAGTATAATTTACGAAGCGTAATAACGTAGCCGTAGAGTATTACTAATATATTTTATATTAAAAAGGGTATTATTAATATTAATAAGACGGATAGGGCCGTATTAATATAGTACCTCGGCTTCTTTTTATAACTCGAGGATAATCGCTTTAAATAGTATTAGAAATTTATTAAAAAGCTCTCTCGAGTACTTTAATATATTTATTACTATTTTTATAATAATAAGACTCCTAGTGCCTACGTATAAAAGTAGGTTACTTATTTCTAAATAGTAATATTAGCTTATTAATAAGCTATTAAAACTACGATTTTAGCGATCCTTTGATAAGGGAGAGGGTAAAATAGAAGAAAGGATAGGTAACTTATAAAAAGGGTTAAGGTTAAATAGTGCGGAATTCGAGGGCAGGGTAGCGTCTATATATACTGCGGCAATCCTCTAGTAATACAAAACGATGGAGTTAAACAGTGAGAGTCCAGAATCCATCTGCAAGAGTCCATGAATGCAGATACATAATCATGTCATAAGTATTCCGTCACAACCACCCGACGGGACATAATAAGAAACAACCCTAGCAAAACACGGGGCACATCGTCGTCGGCCGCCCGTCGCCCGTCAGCAGTCATGCTTGCAGTCGGGGCCCTTGTTTATGATGCGCCCTCTCTTCACCTCTCCTCTCCTCCCCTTGCCTCCTCCCAATCCGCCCCATCCTGTGTACCAAATCCTGATCCCGACTCCATCTCACCAACCAGGCTGCCCGCTCATAAGTGATCAGTGATAGTTCAGCTCTGGGTTCGCCCTGAAATTGCATCGACAACGGCACTCGGGTACCGGACACTTAACGTGCCTCGTGAACCACTGCCTCGCATGGTCCAGATGCAGAACGTGTTCGCATTTCAAGCAAAACGTTGGGAAGTTGGCTGCCATCCACCTCTCCGGCTCACCGTTGTGCTCCGGTCGGTCAGATCTCGGAACGCCCACCACCTCAAGACACACAACACACCGCGGCAGATGCCGACCGCAGTTGGGACAGCTGATTCCCGCATTTATGCTCGTCGCCATAAGGGGGTTACGTGAATCAGGCGCCCCAGGCGGCGGTCCCGACCCGACTCCTCCCTGTCCAGCGAGAGTCGTCTCCGCGTCGCAGTACACGCACCGGAGCGCAATCTGGCGCGAGGGCGGCTTGATCGTTGGGCGCTCACCACGCTTGCTCTTCTTCGTGCTCTCCACCTCGAACTTGGTCCTCTGGAGGAAGGCCTTGTGCCGCTGTAGATATGTCCTGTACGCATTCCTCCAAGCCAGGCAACGGTAGTCGTCAATGTAACGTGGCGCACATATCGACATGACTAGCGTCGCCGTCTGGAAGTCGTTGAACTTCTCAACGTATTTGGCGAAAATGTCCACCAGCCTGTCCGTTATGCCCGTGAGAACAATGCCCTCAATATCTCCCGTACTCACAGCCATTGAGACCTGTTCGTTGAGCCACTTGGTGAGTTGCTCGTCGCTAAAGTTCCGCACTGCAACGTAGGCCCGGTCTGACAGGGGCAGGGACTTTTGGTTTGCAATGGCGAACCAGTCTCCCGTGGCAATTAGTGACGAGATTGCCCTTAGATAGGGGTCCGTTTTCGATGCCACGGCCTCGTCGAAATCGAGCTGCTCCTTGTTAAGGTGATGATTGCTCTTTCCGATGAGTTGCAGGGCGAGAGAGACAAATAACAACTCTGGGTGTGTTACGCTCGCCGTCTTCAGAATTCCAATCGCCTCCTGCGTGTTGCCCTTGAAGAGAGCCCGAGCTGCTGCCATCGTGTGTGCCGTTGTCGGATAGTCTTGGCTGGGATCGTGTGTCGCTGCTCCCCTGGCTTCATGTGCCGCCGTATCCCCCCATTCGCAGATATCTAGACACAGCTGTCTGTGGAAAGGCTTCTTGGTGTGGATGCCTTCGTACTTTGGTAGTCGCCGCTTCTTACAAATGCTTCCAATACACTTCTCCCACAACGTCGTTTCGGGGATCGGAGATGCCTCTGGAAGTCTGGATGATGGCTTCCGGCCTGCTACATGTTAGTCACGGATCTGGTGATAGCAGCGGACTCTTTACGGACCCAAATCATCACACCAGATGGTACAGACGCCCATATAACTAAGGTCGAGCGGCGACAACTTCATGCCTCCATCCGCTGCAGCATCTTCGGCGTCTGCTCAGGATTAGCAACAATAACCCTAGTGCGTTCGTCCTGCTCACCTGAAATCCAATCCCACATATACCGCAACCACGGATCATCGGCTACCACGACACGATTGACACTGCAATCAAAAAGGTACTTCTCCTTCGCACGAAGAAGCATGACGTGGTCTAGGAGACACTGTGCCTTCGTCGACAAGTCCTGAGCCTTCAGGGGCAGCGAAAGAAGAGATTCATGCATGTGACGACACGAGACCGGCCCATCGGTAGACAGTGATAACTGGGCGAGCGAGCTGACTGATTCTTCCATGATGGAGCTCTCGCCGCCATTCGCATCTGCTTTCCTTGCCTTCTCCTTAAGTTCCGTTCTCAGAGCTCGCATCTTTTCTGCAGTAGACTTGGACTTATCGATGGGCGACGAGGAGCTGGCATCATTGCCCGTCAACCTACTGTTGAGATCTGCTGCAGAGAACTGTGACTGCAATGTCTGATCCACGATAGTCTGAACATCGGCCTTGTCGGGGCCAAAAATAGGAATGTCGGACAGTGCTTCCTCAACAAACAAGGGACCGAGCATGTCAGAAGACTGGGACGGCTCAAATTCCATAATCTCGTGGTAAGGTCCTCCTTCTGTATGGTGTGAGCGGTCTTTATCTCTCTAAACAGTCTGGCACACGTACCTTCTAGTCCACGATGTGGTGGTTGCCAAGGTGTCAGCTTATACAGATAATCAGAGGTATACGACGGTTGTTCGAGGATCTCAAAGGACCCATTGGCCCGCAAGACGAGGAGACGAGGCTGCAGGACCGAAGAGTCGAGCGTCACCCAGTCAAAAGAGACAATTCTGTCATTCTTCCTGCCGCTATCGCCGTATTGAACATCCATGTCGTGGGATTTGTGGACCTCGAGAAGCTCTGGGCTACCTTCAAGGGCCATGTCGCGATGCGTTATCTCCTTGTTCGTCTCCAAGACCTTGAGCTGGCCGGATCGAGACAGCACAGCCAGGAGACCCCGTCGGTCTCGACAGTAGCGCAATGAACGGACGATGGAGTGCTTGCTTTCGCTCAATGAGGAATCGTCATCCATCTCAACCACTCTGTCGAGTCTCAAGGCTCCACCCCACGGAAGGTCGTCCTCGTCAACGGCGCCCAGATAAGATGGCGAGGCAACTGGACGAGACGTTGCTCGTCTATCCCAAATCATGATGCCAGGTTGATCCAGTGCGGATGATGCGAAGTAGTTCTGGTCAGCGTAATCGATGGCCAGGTTGTTGTTACACTTGGTCTGGAAGGTCACAACAGCGCCAGGTTCTGCAGTCAGATTAAATTAGCAGGTTTCTTTCGACAAATTGTGCGGTTGCTATTTACCTCGCAGGTCATGGATGTGTAGACCTTGGGCTTTGATACCGACCACCAGCGTCTTTGGGTTATCTTCAAAGAATTTAACGCTCGACACTGACACGCTGTGTTCCAGTCGATATGCTGGGTCTGAGAAAGCGTGGAGATCCTTGGGAAAGCCTTTGGCGGCCGTATTCATCGTCGACAACCTGTTTACGTCCCAAATGTGTAGACACTGATCCATGCGCACTCTATCCAAGCCAACTGCAAGAAGACCCTCGGTGTTGAATGCCACCGCCTGACATGTTCTTGTCATTTTGAGGTTCAATTCAATGTAGGCGTTGGAGTTGTCGTCCATCCTGAGCAAGTTGACGACGCCCGTTTGAGTGCCGACGGCCAGGAGACCTGGGACCGTTGGCGACCAGTCATAGGTAGTGAGCGTTGGGAAATCATCGTGCTTTGAAAGTCTTGTGTAATCGAAGCGGTTCCTCTGTGCAAGTCCGGTGGGCTCATATAGCTGCACGACGCGATGTTGCAGGTTTATGTGGATAAAGCTGTCGAAGCCGGGTATCTGCGACCATTTGATCAGTCCAGGCTCCGGGCGGTCCATGGCGACCGCACGCGCCTGAATATCGTAATGAGCTCGGCTTTCTCCTTTCTAAGTCGAATAGCGAGAGAGAGAGACACCTATATCAACAATGAAAGTCGAAAGAGCGCTCATCCATGAGCTGCCTGGACAAGCCCGTGAGTGATGTGAGCCGTACTGGATGAACTGGTTCGCTATAAGCTGCGCGGTAATGGCGTTTTGCCTGAGAAATTCCGAGATTGTTATGGTCCCAACACCGATTAATGAATGATCTTGAAGATGAGGTATGCAAAGAGAAGTTCCATGCCAGTAGTCGCTTTCAATCAGGTATCATCTGGAGTCGCTGGAGCTTTGGGTGGGACTACTTTACTTTGAGATCAGTGAGCCGTTGTAATTGGGACCTGTCATTGGCGCGCACAGACCAGTCACATTACCAGTCCCATTTGGGACTGATAAGCACCCCAGGTGGGGTCGGCAACTTCCTTGAGGCCGATAACGAGCCAAATTTTTGAAAGAGAAGTTCGCGATGCCATCGTCAGTTCTTCATCCTCCATACAGCATTCTGGCCGACCTCAACCGACCACATCGCAACACCACAATTCAAACATAAATCACGCAGGATATTCACTACACAATCAATAGAAATGGGCACGAAACGAGCGTATTCTGAGGTCGCCGCGGAGGGTACAATCCCGGACGACACCCACGAGCAACAGCAGCAATCGGGCTCGGAAGACGGCGAGCACGAGAACAAGCGGTTCAAGACCACCAAGAAGAAGTCTAGGGCGAAAGAGGGCACAACAAACTGGAACAAGACGCGCTCGAGAGATATCAGAAGACTCTTGCAGAGCGGCAAGCAACTGCCCGCTACGAAACGCAACGAGCTGGAACAAGAGCTGGAGGCGCTGCAGGAGAGAGTCGAGGAGCACAACTTCAAGAAGAGGAGAGGCGACATGATTCAGAAGTACCACATGGTTCGATTTTTTGGTTCGTCTTCGTCATTCCTTGCATCAATGTCTATCAGCTAACCCCGTTTCTTTTTTTCCTTTGCAGAACGGAAAAAGGCAGAGAGACTACTGAAGCAGCTCCGCAAGAAGCTCCAGCAATCCGAGGATCCCGAAGAAAAGAAGCGCCTCGAGGCCGAGGCCCACGTGGCCGAAGTCGACGTCGCCTACGCCCGCTTCTTCCCCCTGATGGAGCGCTACGAGAGCCTGTACCCCAACAAGGACAAGAACGCCAAGGAGGAGGGAGACGAGGACGAGGCCGAGGAAGAGCAGCAGCAGCAGAAAGAGCAAGCGGAGGCGGATGCGGATGCAGATGCAGATGCGAAACTCTCCAAGCAACCCAAGGCCCTGCAGTTCCTCCACGCCGAACGACCTAAGATGTGGGCAACGATCGAAAAGGTCCTTCCGGAAGGCGAGGTGGCCCTGTACCGGCTGCGCGATCGCAGGTCACCGGCAGACGGCCCCGCCAAGCGCCAGGCCCGGCCGCAACAGCCCGCGAGACAGACGCAACAGACCCGGCCGCAGAGAGTCAAGGAGGAGGACCCTTGGGTGGCCAGGTCGAAGAAGACGTTCGAGAAGAAGAGGGATCCCAAGCAGCCGATGAACCGGAGGGAGCGCAGGGCGGCTGACAGGAAGGCCCCCGCGAAGGTGGAAGAGGAAGATGACGGCACGGGCTTCTTTGAGTGAGGCTCGGAAAAAGAAAGCAAGCAAGGTGTTGAGCGTTTTGGTAGTCAATAGTATACCCCCTAAAAGTTTTATGGGATCACGTCAATGGAAACCACACTTTGATAATGTTGTCAGCTCGAGCACATTTACTGCTCGTCATATCGCGTATTCTACGGCTGCCCACTGTTAGTTGATACATGTCGTTTGAAAGTCATCTGAAGTCATACTGAACCTGCAGTCTTAACATTAGGTATGCTGAAGACCAGGCTGCAATAATGATTAAACCAACATCTATAATAGGCGGATAAACGACGAATCACGTTCGCCAGATTGATTTGACTTCCATTGCAGGTGCGTCACGGTCGTCACCACGCAGAAGTGGCAGCCTCCTGCAGAACACCGCTTTGGCCCAGCCAAGAGAAGCAGCCACACTGGACAGAGCGGCCAGAAAACGCAACCCCACCAACGTGGTTAACCTTCACCCGTCTCAACCCCTCCGTTTCCTCCTTCTCATACATCAAGAAGAGAACATCTAATGGAATACAACATGATTCTCATTCATGTTCTTCAGCTTTAGATGCCACATAGACATCCTCTCATTTTCACTCATAACCTATCGTCACCCGTGAAACCAAAGACCATAGCGCGCACCATAGCCGCAGCCGCAGCCGCAGCAACTTTAACATACGGAAACGCACACTCACACCCACGCGCGCAACATACACACGTAATGGCAGGAGACCCGTCATCAAACGGCACAGCCGTCCAGCGCGTAGACTGGTCGGCCCTCCGAGCCTACATTGCCGGCAAGGAAGCTTTCGAGGCAGAACACGGCCGCCCCGCCCCGCTCACGGATCACGAGGTCTCGGCCATCGCCATCCTCCTCCGTCCGGCCCCGCGACCGGAACCGGACTTGGGTAAAACGAACTGGCTCGGCCTGTTGAATCGTGAGTTGAAGCACTTTTCTTTATACACCATACACTTCTCTTTACAATTCCCTCATTCTCCGCATCGGATCATGTATCTATTCGAGGCTGGGAAAGCAACCTCTTCCCCTTTAACCCCAGAGCATCAGAATTTCTCTTGATCCGAAGCATTAAACCACCTTCATCGAATTTAATTTCCTCAAACCCATACTAATCAAATATCCAAAACATACAGATTTCCAACAGGTCAGAAACCAAAAAGTAACCTTCACCGACGAAGCCCGCCAGGAACAGGGCCTAGGCAAGGCCAAAGAGCTCCGCTGGGCCTGCTCAGCAATGTTTGACAGCACCGGCGACGTCTTCCCCCAGCCGGGCTACGGCATGGACGCCGGCGAAGACGTCTCCCGCGGCGGCGCCGGCCCGTCCTTTCCGGGCAAGAAGGACGCGAAGCAGTGGGCGGCCAAAGCAGCGTGCGAGTGGCTCATTGACAACGGGCACATGATGCCCTCGGGCGACCTGCCAAAGTTTCCCAAGCCGTTTGCCCCGGCTGCTAGTGCTGCCCTCGCTGCCGCCGCTGCTGCTTCCGCTCCAGCTCCAGCTCCAGCTCCAGCTCCTTCTCCCTCTCCTAGTCGTGGCGTCTCGTCCGGGTCAGTCCTACCCTCCAAGAGATCCCCGCCGAGCTCGCCGCCAACAGAAAGCAGTGCCGACGCGTCGAGGAAGAAGCAGGACACAAACCAACCTCCAAAGACATCTCCATCGCTACCAGCTCAGGCACCCAGCACCACCGCAAGCAACAGCACCAGCAGCAGTCTTCCCAGTCACCAAGCATCACCTCCCACATCCACTCAACCCCCCAGAGCGCCGAAATCAACTCTCCCCCTCAACGTGACAGCATCACCAACCTCCGCGGCCGCCCAAGACTCGACGACTACATCCACGGCGAGTACACCCTCTCTCGGCGGCGCCGGCGTCCCTATCACCACCTCCGCCGCCGCCGCCACGGCGCAGTCCCAGGTCCCCACGCCTGCCATCTCTCCCGTGCCAACCTCAACGCCAGCACGGGTATCAACACCTGCAACGCCAGGGCAAGAGTCGGCAACAGCAACGACATCAGCAGAGAAGCGCGTCCGCGACCTCTGCGCGCAGCTCCACTTCCCCGTGCCGCGGTACGTCTTGACGCCGGACCCAGCGCTCGAGGACTTCTGGGAAGGCCGCGCCGACTTTGACGGCAACCCGCGGATCCCAGACGACCTGGGTACCGTCCGGCGGGTGTTGCATAAGAAGGCTGCGAGGGAGAGGATGGCGGATGCGATTGTGATTTGGTTGGAGGGGGAGGTCGTGAAGAGGGAGAGGACGGCTAAGCTTCTGCTGGGGAAGTGATTGTATGACGGATAGGGGCGAGGGTTCGGGCGGTTTCATGGAGACTTGAGTGGTGATTATGAGCTTGTAGATGGATTCTTGAGAGTAACCTTTGTGGAAAGGGGGCATGTCAGATATGAGGAGCTTTGAACGCAGAGATACATAGGGGGTCGAGGTTCGTTGGCCAAAAGTATGCCAACAGCACAGCAACAATCGCTTCGCTTTCAAGAGACTTGCTAAGGGGAAGTTGTGAAAGGACCGCCAGCTACCCATATCATAACTTATATCCTTCTTCACGTTTGACTAAAACGAGTAGTCTTATAAATGGCCACGGTAGGACGTCTTCTGCACTCGCGGGTCCGGAGGTTCATCAAACTGAGGTTAGTGGGCCGTAGATCCTAAGAGTCCTCCTTTTTGCAACTCGCGGAAACCACATGTCTATGCCTAACCCATCTGTCCCTCTGCAATGTGTCTAGGTCTTTCTTCCGCTTCACCATCACCACCTCAAGCCTTCCCTCCCCTTCTCCCACCACCACCACCACCCCTCCCGCCTCTCCCCTTCCCAGGCGGCGCCCTCATCCTCAACCCCTCAGGCAACTCCCCAACCTTCTCCCCATCCCTCCAAAGCACACCAATCCCGCTCCCCTCGTCCCTCGCAACAACCTCCCTAAACAACCGGCACGGCACAACCCCCTCCCCATCCCCCTCCGTCAACACGACCCCGTTCTCACTCACCCACCACTTAATCCCCTCCTCCTCCCTCAACGCCCTCTCGACATCAACATACACCAACACCTCGGCATCCTTCCTCATCCCGCTGACGACGCCCTTCTCATCGCCGGGTAACCCCGTCGCAAAGTGGACCTGGTTCCGCCCCATCCTCTTCAACCCGCCCGACGCCTCAATCTGCTTCCAATACGCAAAGTACGTCCCGTGCACCGCCACCGCCGGCACGTTGCCCGCCTCGAGCGTGAGGGGGGTCAGCAGGCCCGCCGACTCGACTTTGATACTGTGGCCCTGGTTCGCGCGGATCAGCCAGTCCGAGGGCTCGGTCGATAGCTCCGCGCTC